AAGCCCCAAAAAGATATAAAAAGAAATAGGTCAAGGGAATAAAGATTCGTTTCCTGCAAAACAAGAGTGTTGGGCCTGCAATTCTGCATCAATCTACACAAAACCCTCTTCCTTCTGGCATCTCCTAGGCCCCAAACATTTCAGGTTATCACTTTCATTTTGGACGGAAGTCACGACCCCCTCTAGTGGCTCCAGTAGAGCCCGTAGCAAGCGGGTCAAACTACAAGCCAAAGCCAAAGCCAAATATTTTGTCTCTTTCAATAATCAATTGGGGTGCCTCCTCAGACGCGGGTTCTCAATCACCGGAATCTCCTCCATGGTCAGAGCTTCCTCCATTAGTTATCACTTTCATTTTGGACAGAAGTCACAACCCCCCATAGTGGCTCCAGTAGAGCCAGTAGCAAGCGGGTCAAACGGCAAAGTCGAAGCGAAATCTTCAGCATCTTTCAACAATCAATTGTGACGCCTCCTCAGATGCAGGTTCTCAAAAACCAGAATCTCCTCCTCGAGCAAAGCTTCCTCCACCAGCCTGATCTCCCCTTTGAATTTTTTGCACAATACTGGAAGCAGTTTGGTAGCCTTTTCACAAACAGCTGCCCTTTTGAAGGCCTTGATGGACCAATTGGAAAACTCATGCGGAAGGTCCTCCTCTGAGGACTCAGTAACTAAAATAAGGGGTGCTTCAGGGACCTAAGGGATGGTGGAAATAAGGAGACCCATAGATTGGTGGGCGGCTGAGGCCACCATGGAATGTTTCGAGAGTAAGACATCCCCATGCTCTACCATAGTCCCATTCGAACATGGACATTCTCATGACATTCTCCGGGGCCTTTATCAGCTCAGCCAAAGCTATGTCATTTTTCCCCGAAACCTCTATTATAGTCACTCTTTGGGCCATCTCTAAAAAGGCAAAGTTTGCACGAAAGTAGCGGTGGAGAAACAATAAAAAGGTGAAAGAAAAAAGTAGAGCCCAAAGAAATAAAACTGGTCCCAAAACAAGGCTAAATTAGGAATGAAGGGGAGTGGGGAGGGGGAAGGCGCACAAGATCATGCATTGCATCTCTAAGGAAAGACAAAGAAGATTTAAGAGGTACTTTTTCAAAGCAATCCATCCCATCGGGATGATAGCCCTCTGCCTCCATACCTTCCATAGAGGGGGAACGTATCGTCTCAATACCCATCACTGTCTGTTGCTCCACATGGACAGATACCGTGGTATCAGAGGAAGGCGGTGACTTTTCAGAGAATGACATCTATGGCACAAGAGCTGTAGAAATCAAGGAAGCCACAACTTCCCTTTTTGATAATTCACACTTCTCAAAGGAGGAGCATTGAAACTAAACAAGGCCATGCATAAGCCTCTTCGGACCACCAGAATATGAAATCTCTTTAACAGGTCTTGTGCATTTCATATTGAATTTGACCTCAAGGGAGTAAGCGTCTTCATGCCAGCTGAAATTGTAGACAACGAACCAACCACCTTTCTCATCCAATTTTGTCGGAAAGTTTTCTTTGGCAAGGGGTCAGGTCTTGGGGAATGACCTCTCATCTTTTTAGAAACTTGAATCCATGGCCACTTGAAATCACCTTCTCTCATATTCTAGGATCCCCCTGAAGCCGAAGTTGATGAAGATGCATTTGAGATGGGAGGGGTTGGCAAAGTATTCTCCACCTGGATGGGCACGTCATAAATCTTCCAAAAAAACTTTTTCGACACCTTACTTCTAGGGAAAACTTAAATCTTCATTCTAAGGAGGCTCAGAGAAGGCCCAGTTGAGGTGAACCAATCAATCTCCAAAAGTCTACTGCCATGCAAAGTAATGATGCATAAAACTTCTTTGGTCCATGCTTGAATGGGTATACCTGACACCCTAACCCAAACAACCGACACATAAACTAGGGAAGTATTTGCACAAGAAGACCATTTCTCCACCGTCATAAGCACACCTTTAAATCTCCAGAAACACTGCTTAAGAACTCTTAATACATCTTCACTAGCCTCAAACAAAATTAAAGCCATGTGGTTTGGAATAGCTTTGGAAGTTAGATGACAACCCCATGCTCTAACAACCCTCTCCTCAGGCATACTGAGATCCTCAACTTGTGGACTGAAAGAGCAAATTGATGCTTTGATCAAAAGTTCACTCCATGTCTATGTAACTTTAGCATCAAGCTCAATAATCTTAGCCCCCACCATGGCCAGATGAGCACCACCTGCCACCTCTTGCCTAGGGACAAGACTTAGACCCCAAGCTAGAACCTCTGTTAGGGTCATTTCCAAAACAAATCTCCTTCTAGCTACCAGAACCAGAGGAGCTCTAGGATCTATTAAGACCAGCAACCCTTTGTCTTCCACTATCTCTGCCTTTACCTAGGATGCAACCTATCCCCCCACCTTAGGTAGTGCTAGAGTACCCTTTCACCGAGAGAGAGAGAGAGAGAGAGAGAGAGAGAGAGAGAGAGAGAGAGAGAGAGAGAGAGAGAGAGAGA